ATGTGTATTGCTGATTTTAAGTAAGTTGTGTGTTACCAAATTTTCAATGTTATGTTAGCTGACAAAAAAAAATAAAAAATCCAAAGGTCAATCCAAACATCAAAGACTAAATTTCAGAAGCTGCAGCTTCATATGTGACAATAATCCTCAGCATTTATTTATTTATTTTTGCTTCTGAGCTCCACAAACTGTCCTTTGCTGTTCAAACTTTACAATAGGAAATCAACTGAAAATTCTAGTAATTTTAATGTTTACTTAAGTAAAAAATTTTCATACAAGTTTCAGCAAAATCAACTAATAGGATTCTCTTTTTATTTCTGAATTTTCCCCAAACTTCATTCTGTTCTGCATATTAGTAATGCTGTCTTCTGATTTGCAGACAATTTTCCAATTTTCCATTTAGAGTATGCTAAATAATATTCTGCTGTAAAATAACCTCAATGCTTTTATGGACCAAAGCATATATTTTTCCTATGCCAACCAAATATTATCAGCAAACCTCCTACCACCCACGACAGGAAGAGATTAAGATTGTGTTGAGGCCTTTTACTGAAGTATCACCCACCACAGAACCACTAAAGCAAAAAAGGAAAAAAACTTTGCAGCTGAAAAACACATTAATACATCAATAAACTGACAACTTTATCTGTTAAACCAGAAATGCTAGCTTACTGTAGATTAGCCATAGCTGATACTAACACATGTTGCAGCCATAGAATTCTCCTAGAATTCTGAGAGTTGAAATCCACAAGTAGAGAGATGTAAAGATTCCAGGTTTGAAGACCTCTGGTGTAAATGGTCTTTTAGATTATTAGCCAAAGCAAGACTTTACAGCTATACAGTACCTATATATTATGAGTAGTTGAAATAATTATTAATATTATTTATTAAATTTATTTGTTAATGAAATTTGCAGCAATCTTTGTCTGTGATTTAGTCTCACGTAAACTTAATACAGAATTAAAATTGCCACTCTAATCAATATTTTCCATTATTAAACTTTCAATTTTTAACCTAACTTTTCTACAGATATGGGAGGGATATCTTTAACAAGGAAAGTATCAAGGAAACTATGGTATCAGGGATAGAACCTGCCAATGAATTTTAATGAGCAAACAATGGCATATATAATTTGGCCTGCCCTATCTGCACATCTATTTGTTTGATCTATATTAATGGATTGTATTTTTTTTCCATTAAATTTCATTTGTAGTTCTTAAGAGTACAGTAGTGGAAAGAGAATAAGTAAACCATAATTATTCCTTATTCAGTTAGCCCTTTTCTGATTATGAAAATGGTTAAAGAAGATCCTTCTAGCACAGATCTTCTTAGAACAGGCCCAACCGCTTTCCTGGTAGCATATTCATTTCCAAAAGAGTGAGAGTTCAGTTTTTCACTCCAAATAGACAAAAATAAAGGGTGGATTTATTTTTAAGAAAATGTTTCATTTTGACTCAATGTCTGTTAACTTTTCTAAAAATTTCAGCTTCTGACAACAAGATGTATGATGTGAATCTTTCTTCCAACTCAGCTTGTTTAAGAGGGTTAGATTAATCTTCTGGCTGAGGCTGAGCTATGCTTAATATATGGAGATCCTTTCATGAACTAATATTACACATCATGAATAATGAAAGCTAGAGAAACTGCAGCAAGTAAGTGGAAAATAAGCAAAGTAAGCAAGTAGCCAAATGTTTCTGATCAGTTCCTTTCTTAACAACAAAATATAGTTCTAAGAACTGATTTTCCAAAAGAAGTAGTTTTTGGGCAAATGGAAGACCAGGAGACAGTATTGTCTGTGAAAACAGACTTTAAGTAGGAAAGTGGGTATCTTCTCCATAAAATGAGATGAAAAGTAACATCAAAGGGTAGTAGCAGAGTGTAAGAGAATGTAAAAACATGGCTTTGAAAAGCTAAATGAAACTGTGATGTTGACTGAACTGAACCTTTTGCTAGCCATGGATAATTTAGTGTTAAATGATATGTTTTTATTAAGGACTTTACTGGAAAACTTTAAAGGCTTGTTCTGAGTAAATACTCAGCAGGCAGAGAAAGGAATAAAGGTTAATGTAAATTCCCTCTGCCCTTTCTTTTTTTACCCAAAAGTTTTCTTTCTAAAAGCTACCAAAAGCTATTCTCCCACGACATGAAATAAAAAGGACACAACTTATATTTATTCTCCAATTCATAAATATTACCTCAAAATACTTGGCTTTTCCTGATGTGTTCTTAAAGAATTCTGGATAATTTTTAAAATGTTATATAATTAATAAAGTTAAAATTCACTTTTAACAAGTTAAAATAATCCAATGATTTTTTGTTCACAAACTTTATGTTCAAAGCCTTTGCTTACACAAACTTACAAAGATAAAGATACCACAATTTTCATTATGAAAAATGTGATTATGTGCCCAGTGTTGACTTTTCCTGTCTTCATGGATAGATTTTCTCCATGATACAGAAAACTAAACACTAAATAGAAATAAAATCATACTGCTAAGGTAACTTTTTATTCATCTATGTATTTTTCCATGGCTATCCACATCAACCAAATGACACTTTTTAATTTACACCAGCTAACACTAGCTTTTATTTTTTAATGAATTTAGTCATTCAGGTGTTTTTGAAGACTTTTACTGCAATATATCAATGTTTCAGTCTAAATAATTAAACTGCTTTTTAAATTGTATACATGAAATAATTTTACTATTGTATATGCACAAGAGGCTCAAAATTTATATGTTCAAACTGAATAAAAATTATGATCAATAAGTTGCTAGGAAGAAAAAAGCACAAAAACTATTTTGAAAAAGAACAGCCTGAAAGATACACGTGTCTTTCTAATATGGTATCCAGTTTAAAAGAAGATACACTGTAACATTTTTGCTCTTTTTTGATAAAGAAATAAACTGCCATCTAGTGGTTCAGATGCAATGTTTTTTCAAATTTTAGGTATATACAAAATAATATGTTAATTTTACTTATTCAGTAAACCATGATCAACTGAACCATGATTTAATGGTCATTATGGTCAAAATATAATATCAATATTTTATTTGACATAATGAAAGACAGAGAAAAAATGCTGCATTTGCTGGATGAGATTAAGGTTCTCACATATATCATGGAAAAATATTATTCCTCTGTAACTGAGAATTGGCAATTTGTCCAATTGCAACCAGAAGCCAACATCAGCACATACAAAGTTATAGCATTTGTTCTGTCAGTTGCAAGCTAATTTCATCAAGATTTCTGAAGTTTTTGTCATTTGTCATGGAAATGCTGGATTTGGAAAACAACGTGGCTATCGTAAAAACAATCATAAAATCAAATGAAGTCATGTAGTGACTCACTTAAAACCACCATGACACAACTAAAAATCCAGTCCCAACTGTGATCATAAATTGAGGATTACCTGTATGAACAGCTTTCAACTGACATGCAATTTTGCCAAGACTGAGCTAAATATACATGATAAAAGTAACTGAGATTTCTAAACGTTGTGGCCTAACTATTTACTGGTTACATGTTCTATAAAACAGTGTTCTTTTCCTCTTTCCTTTGATAACATTAATTACTGCAATTCTTGAATAAGTTTAAATGAACCTCTGTAGTAAATATTATACTATGGGATTTTGGTATATCTACTTACACATCCTTTTTTGTTGTTTTTTTAACAGTTATCAAGTTATAACACAAGTTAGAATTTTGAACCATAAGCATGCGTCAATATTAATAGCATTTTGAATTCACGTTGAACATTTTAAAAATTCAAATAACATTCCTAAATAAATGTAAAGAGTGGAGCTTATCTTCAGAGGACTATAAGTTTTACTTCACAGTCTAGCTTTCAGCCTCAGGATCTTTTGGAAGCGTCCCACCCATTTAGTTATTTATTTATTCATACATTCATACCACTGAAATAGCTGCCTATTTCATGAGGTAACTTTACAATAGAGAGAGTACAAAAGATTTTTAAAAATTAACACAAATACACCAAGAGAGACACATATAAGACACTATATCCTTGGGTTAAAAAATATAATTCTAACACAATTATTGAAGCAGTGACTAAACAACTAGCCAAGAAGGCTCATCTGACCCAAATGCCTATACATTTAAGGCCTTGCAAAAAGCAAATAGGACTGGGGCCCACAGATCTCTGGGGAAATAGGGCACACACAGGAATAACCAGTTCTAATCTTACTTATTTTTTTCCAAACTATTATGCTGTTACCTATATGAAGAAATTAACACTTTCCTTATTATATTTTTAAGATAAATCCTATATTTGAATTTGTATTTCTACTATGATCAAATCTCCACTTGTTTTCTCAGAAGCACATCCTACAGCTACCAGACAGTAAGCCTTGTTGAACTCAATGGGACGTACTTGGGATAAAAAGAAAAGAGGCTGCTGTTAGCCTTGTTTTTATCAAAGCTAACCAGAAATGTCCTTCCACCAAAACATGCTACATAAGTACAATCAAATCCAAATACTAAAAGGAAAGTATTCAATTCAATATTCAACCCTGTAATTTTAGTATTAACCTGAATGTGAAAATAAAAATATATTCCTCTGCAGTGTTATAAAAAAAGGTTTCTACAGTTGTTTACATAAATATTTGGTTTCAGCAATGAATTAGCATAATAAAGTTTATTTTGAATGCCAGAGGAATGGGAGAGGGCATCTAGCATCAAATTATTTCTGGAAAAATGTAACTACACGTTTATTGTGTTGTTATATGTACAGCTGCTTATTTGACATTTCTGTACACAATTGTCAAATCAAAAATGTAATTTCTCAGCAAGTTGGAATCACAAGACATAACATAAATGAAGTGGCACAGCACTGAAAAAATTGCTTCAGACTTTAATTGATGCTTTGAAGACTACATTACGTCCATGGAGTCACAATTTGAAAATCAGTCTTGAAGCAAATATATTGAAGAAGAATACAATGACTAAACACTAGGGGAAATAAATATGAACAATGTAAATACCTCCTGATTATCCTTATTATGGGTTCCCCAGAAAATCTTGTTATAAAGGCTTTCCATAGAGTTGCTAGAATCTGAACGATCAAAACAGTGTCTATCCAAAACCTCCAAAGTGTGCAAAACACGGCTGATAGTAACCCCTGGATAAAGGGAAAACAGAAAAGAAAAATAATGATGATACATTCAAGTTGTGACATCAAAATTATTACAATTCGTTGGAAGAAAACCGGTATTGATTGGGAGCTGCCTTGTGTTTTGTTTTACGGATCTCCACTCCACATAATGTACTTTTTAATTGTCTTATCACTAACCTCTTTCCCACAAGCCCTACCTTTATCCTAAGAATTCTCAATCTCCTAATTAACTGCTATAGGATTTTGAAATGTGTTGATAGCTATAAAGCTGTTATTGTTTATTAGGCACTTAGTAAATCTATAAGGTAAATTTCTCTAACCAGTGTCCAACAGATCTCTTGAGCTATACATCCCAATCAGCATGACCAAATAATGGGATTTGGAGTCTGAGATCCCTGACTGGTCCCATATTGGGGAAAGTTGCTATAGCATACAAACCTTAAAAATGCTAAGGACATTAACTGAGTAGCTTCTTGCACAAACACTGATAAAACTTTAAATGGCATTAATGAAAAAATATTTGAGTGTGAGTATCTATTCAGTTTAAGTGATAAAAACTTAGTTGATTGCGGAAAATACATTTTCTTTGAATGTGCTTAAATGGAAAAGTTTTGTAGATTTAAAACATGATATAAAATGTCAGTTTTTTCAAATTATTGTATCATGAGGCTCGACAGTGAAACTTGGAACAAAAATCTCTTGAGAAAATGGATAAATAAAACTATGGAACAATAAAACAAAATGAATCCTTCAAATAGTTGGCCTGCTTACCAGAGGAAACCATAATTTTTCAAAGGAAGAAAAAGAAAGATTAACTGATATGTTCCCAGACTTCTCTCCTCTTTTTCTCCTTAGGGACAGATTTTGATTCTTGGGATCTCAGAGGTACAAAGTACATGCAGCTTCTTACTTACATCAAAACAATCCTTCCAAAAATAGCCTGGTCATAGTGTTCCCAAAAGAATCCCAAAATATGGTAAAATAGTCAATAAGCATAATTTTTTGAAATATAGAAGGCCAGATGTTTACAGATGGTTTTTTTTCTTTTTGGAAGACAGGCATTTTTTCACTGATTTTTCAACACACACATAAGCAAAAATTACCACTTTTAAGCATCAAGCTCCCCCCACAAAAGAAGAAAAAAAGAAAGACGGCCTTGAATGAAACTCAACTCCTAAATGTGAATATGTGGGTGTGGGTGTGCACACACGCATGCAGTTTTGGCAATAGTATAGAAGTATTTCTATAGCCTTGCCCTGAGATGTTTTCTTTCACCTGACAAATCTATCCCATAGTTTTCCTGTGATCTCCAACAGTTTCTAACCGGAGGCATCTTATCTTTCAAACTCAGACAAAGAGCAGCTCTTGAAAAGCACCATACAAATTAGCACTGTTATTTTCCTCTTGGCAATGTGTTGCCAAGGAATGGGAAAGAAATTATTTGGATTATGTTGATGATTTATCATAATAATGATTATTTTTGCACAAATAAATAACACAGTCTAATAAACTAAGTATTGATTCTAATTATTCAGATCTAGAATAGTTGGAATCAGCATCTAGACTATTGTAGTGTGATATTCAGATTCATGGAAATCTCACTATAAATAGTTTGGATCCATATATATACAGTGTAGAACTTCCCAAGCTCCCAAGTTGGGAAGAACTTGATGCGGATGAAGGCTAAGTTAAGCTAAAGAACTGGCAGCTGTTGATTTCACCTTGTTCTGTATATAATAGTAATAACAGTAGCTACATTATTTCAACTATTGCAATCACTGCTTATCTTTATTTATATATTAGAAAATTTATTTGCCTCCCATCTTGTATCCAATGACTCAGCATCTTTAGGTGGAGTTGTTTCAAACCCATGACAACATTTTCGAGAAATTTTAAAAACTGACATAAAAGTATCAACAAATATTTTTTGCACATACTTATTCCATATTAGTTCATCATCTACATTCAAGTGGACAATACCAATATATTTAGAATCAGGCTTTAATCCAAGACTGAAAAGCAATAAATGGTACCTAAAATGCAGCTATCATTTAGTTTTAAAAATCAGTGAATTTCACTGGATGAAGTCCATAAAGCTTCATTGCTTTTACAATCCATTTTAGTGCCTACCTGCAGTTGATTCTTGGCACTTGTCAAATGACCACCGTACTTCGACAGCACGGCCCCTTTGTTTTATCTGCTGTTCTACTTCAAAAATCTTTGCACGAACCTGTAAAGAAAGCAACAATTGTATAATACATACATGCATAAGGTACTACATATCACATAAATGTTAGGTACCTAGTGCTGGCTTTTCCAGAGTATGAGGATATATATTTTTAAAATAAATAAGTACAGATGAACTGCAGGAAAACAGGAAAGCAATATACTCTTGTAAGTTACAAGAAAATAGTCCTTTGATCTGAAAAACCTTAACATTCATCTTCCTGAAAGTTTTAATGAAATTTGTTAGCATTTGAAAAATAAAACACACTTTGTTAACCAATCATTACTCCTCTGCTGTAAAGGAACAAAGGAAATCTATTTTCAACAGTTCAGGGAAAGAATGTGTTCCTGAATTCTGTTCAGAATTATGGACAGGATACTATTTGTGTAGACAGAGCGGACTAATCATCTCAATATTCCATACAACTGCTCAATGTTTAAATCTTTTGAAATGTACAGTATTGTGCAATTATTACAATATTTCTGAAAATAGCATAAAATAAAAATCAAAGCAGTATGACTTGAAAGGCTGCATATTTGGGATATTTGAACATGAATATTATTCATTGATTACATTTATATTCTGCCTATTCTCTGGGAGTTCAAGGAGACATGTATGATATCCATTCATTTACCCTCAAAATAGCCATCTTTTGAGATAGGCTGTGAGCTCTAAATGTTTGCCTCAGTGTAACTAACTATTAATGCACAATTAACTATTAATGTGGAAGTAAGTATTAATGTGGGGGCCAGTGAAATAGTAACTGTTTTCAACTCTGAGCAGGTAACCCAGGTTTAAATCCTCGCTCAGACAAGAAGCTTGCTGAAGCTTTGGGTTCACTCACTCACTTACTGAAGCTTACCGCAAACAATTCATGTTAAGGAGCTAAAATTAGGAGATCCACATGTAAGTCACTTATATTGGCTAATTGACAGGCCTTCTTCATAATCTAATGCAAAACCATGTTAGTAATACTTTTAATGCTTTTTTCTATTTGAAAAGAACAAGTTAAATGTTAAATTTAATTTTTTTTTAAAAACAGCTAAAATGCTTCCAACAGAAAAAAAAATGATAAGGTACTGGTATCTAGCATATTGTTCAATTTTTCAGTCTCCCTAAAAACTATTAAAACAAGAGTTTGATGGTGGTGGTGATGATGTCATGGAGCTATTTCATTAAAATTGAATGAGCAAAAGTCCTTACTGCAGAAACAGCTTCAGGATAGCTTGAATTTAGACTACTGCTTTAATCAATAAATAAAAAATACAGAAGGTGATATCTTCAAAGATGTTTACATTCACTTTAATGGGGAATACAACTGCACTGATATTAAAGATGGTCCATATCTCTTGCAAATGGTTCGGCTTATATGTTATTTTACAATTCTTGGCAATATTAAAAAGGGCAAAGAACTTGTATGGAACATTGGCCAACATATGACCAATCAAAGCCATTTCATTGTATTTGAGACTCAGGATGAATGTACAACGTTGGTGAAATGGTACCTTCACAGACTTGAAAGTTAAACAAGTTTATATGGTGTATTCTTTTATATGAATATTCCAACATTGTCAGAAAATTCATTTCTAACACATTTATCACACTCTTTTTTTCTAACTTTTTACATTCCATGAAGCAACCTCCTACCCCCTCTTTACATATAAATATATGAACTCTGCAATGAAGAAGCAGGAAAAGGTGAGGCATGATTGGAGAGACAGCCGCTAGCTGTAAAATGAAATTTTTAAAAGACAGAAATATGGAAATTTTCAGCAGAATGGATTGTTCATATTTTGAAATACAAATAAAAACTACCTGCTGATTGAATACAGAATTTCCTCCTGGCATTGGTAAGCTGGATGGAGAAACTTGAAGTAAATCCAAAGGTGAGCCAGGATTTATGTTTTTACTTTCATTTGTAGAATAATTCCAGACCAAGGCACTTGGGCAACAGAGAGTTATAGTCTGAAGTAGAAAATAGAAGAATGTAAATGATGTAATTAGATTATTCAATTTTATAGAAAGCAGCAAAAAACACTTTTGCAAAAAAGGGTGTGTGTTTTTTTAAAGTACACACACATTGTTCAAAATGTCCTTATATCTATTTCATTATGTTCATTAAAAAATAGGCTGGTTTAATATCATTGCAATTCAAGAAATAATACGCATAACATATTTCAGTTCATAATACAAGTGCATAAAAGCTACTTTTAAAAGTTAAACATTGCTGCTCTGAATTGTCAAACTGAAGCAAACCATCAGAATGGATTTAAAAAATAAAATAAAAAGAATAAAAAGAAAATCATTATTTCACACATACATCCCAAAAACCTAGAGCTTCTATTTGTTTCTGTAGACCACTTTTACTCGAGATTTTTGTGAAGTAAATGAACAAACAAAAGTAGACGCTTAGTACTATTATTTTCATATATGTTAGAAAAAGTCAGTGTGAATGAGCACAATCTTAAACCTTGTACTCCAGTTTTATAGCTATTTGATTATTCTACACAGCCAGGGGAAAAAAAATGACCTTTCTAGAAAATATCTCAGAAAGTAATGAATAGTCACTCAAATATTTCTCAGGAAGGATCCTATTTAATTCCAATCTCTTCCTAATTAAATTTCAAATTTATCTGAGATATTTGTAATGCATACACAATTGCTTTCCATGAGGAGAGGGAGGGAAGGAGGGAGAAAGAAACAGATCCACAATGCAGTACTTTTTCAACAGTAACACAGCCAATAAATGTTATTTCAGAATTTCCTCTCTGCTATGCACTTACCTGCAGCATACAGCTCAGGCCATAGACAAGAGGGCGGTGTTGGGGGCAGGAAAGAAAATCTGAACAGGCAAGCTGGGCAGGATTCACTACAGTACCAGTTGTCGAAGAGCTGGGAGCTGCCAAAGGAGGATTATTTGGTCCAATAATAATATGAGGCGAGTGGGCAGCTATGAGGTTAGTACTGTCACTTATCAACGAAGAGACACGTCTGGCACAGAAGTAAGCAAGGCGACGCGACAGGTAGGCTGACTGAACAAACTCTTCAGAATACTGAAAGATATTAAATTTTTTTTAAAAAAGTCATCATCAGAGTGTATATCAAAACTCCCCACACAGTTGCTATTGCTTTCTTTAGCATCCCCAAACATCCAAAGCTATATCTTACACTAGTCTCTCTCACACTAGGAAAAGTTTGGTGTATCAAGTTTGCAAGATTTTTTGTTTTTCAGTTACAACTTTTTAAACCCATCTTTCCTAAATCAGAGTTGGCAGCCACAGGACCTCAAGCACCTTTTACATAATTTCTTAGCCAACTTCTGCCCAGGATCATTCCTACCATAGCCAGGTTCTGTGTTGTCTATTTTGTCTGGTTTAGGGGAAAAAAGATCTGGTAAGCGATAAGGGGTAGATGAAAAACTTAACCCTCAGAAGAAAAAAAGCAAGATACTAACAGAATCAGTAGTGTGGCATGTAAACAAAAATTATAGGGTGAGTTCTAAAATAATGTTTAAAATGTTAAATAATATAAAATCATGATTGGAATCTTTTCAGTCACTCTTAGGATTTTCTATACAGGAATATGTAAGCAATGTTTTAAATGGGCCACAAGTTGCATAAAATCTCAAGATTTCCACACACTTGCCTGAAATCTCACAAGATCTATTGATGCAATTTGGGGGTCATTGCCAATTTTACTGAGTTCTCTGTACCAAGACTTATTAAGGTGAAAGTTAGTACTGATACAACTCCAGAACTGAATGAGCTTAGTATAGAATCAACATATTTCCATGGATATTAGGAGTTTGAGACTTGAGATTTTCTTCAACAGCCGTAAAACTGTAAATTACAGACAGGAGGGAGATATTGTAGCTGATAAACTGTAAGTTGGAAGCCATTCTTTCTTTATATATGTTATTTGATTTTTTATCTGACACCAAACCTTACATTCCAATTATAAACAAGCTACACTTAGTTTAACATACTGAATTCTGAAAACATCTGAGTATTTTGGCACTGTGGCAAATTATATTAACCTTTGTACCTGCAGCATTAGTGGTAGGAGGAGTTTCAAAAGTTCATCATCAGCTGGTCTTATTTTTTCCAAGACATCCAGGATCCATGTTAAATATTCGTGTCTTTCAAGCATTCCTTCCTTAAGGAATTTTAGAAATATATGTAAAGAAATTCCCAAATCCAACAGAAAACAATTACTTCATTGCTTCATTGCTTAATATGCCAATTAAGAAATGCCACAAAATTTATTGTCACAAAACTGACATATAAACCATATGAACATTTTAATATATTATAAATCAATGTTAAAATTTAAAATTAATAGTTTAAAAGTCACCTACTGGTTACCAACACATTTGAAATGACAGCACAGAATCATTACCATCCTCCAGTATCAATTCAATTCTTCCTGTGATGGTGGTTATGTAGCCAAAACCTTACCATTCACAAACAAAAATCAGAAAAGCAAGCCAAGATTTACTTCAGTGAAATGCAATGTTCATAGATCAGCATTAAGCAAAACAACTGGGTGGGAAAATGAATGAAACTGAATGGCTGAACAAAGAAGAAAATAGAAAAGACAAGGGTTTTCATTTAAGAAAAGCTAATGCTCTTATAGCCTGATTTTTCAGACTACTTACTTACACTGAAAAATTATTTGGTGCATTTACAGGTATAAGTGTACCTGATATGGAGTGGGTACCTAATATGGAAAACAGAATGCTTCCTCTTTTGAGAGGAGGCAGAAAAAATGTACGGAGAAGAAATAGACTTAATGTTTGAAAGTCTGAATAGAAACTTTCTACTACAGTTTGTTGTGTAGAACTACCACTTTAACTGTTCTCTCCTTTGTAAAGATTGTGTAACCAAAATATGGTAAATATATGCTAAATATATGCTAAATAAACTCTATAGTTTTCTGGGGAAGAATATGAATGGGAGGAATTATTGAATAATTCTGCAGAGGTACATCTTTTTCCAAGTATACAAGGTTAATTTATTCTGCAACTAGTATAGCTTTTTTTTTCATTAAAGATGCACAGTTTTGACATTTATGATGTTTTTAATACCATTACACATCAGTTAACAGCATTTGTCCTTGCTTAACAACTCTAATTGGAAACAGAAGTTCTACTGCTAAGTGATGCAGTTCTTAAATGAAACAATATGTGACCACACTGCTTAGTGAAAGCAGTTTTGGTGGTCCCAGTTGCAATTGCTTGGCCAGGAACATGCCATTTTAGGTGAGGATCTTATGCTTCTCCTGTCCTGCTGTGTCTGTCTCCACTTAAATTCCTCCCACCTATCTATCTACCACCCAACTCTGCCTTTTGACTATCCTGCATTCCAATGTTCCTGCATCTCTACCATCCCAGCTGTCTTTGCCATCTTCCTTCTCCTGCTGCTAAGGCCTTTCATGAGTCAGTGAGGGCAAGAGGGTGCAGGAGGATGAGGGTGCAGAATGGAGTGCAGGGTCATAGGGATGGCAGAGGCCAGACTGGCAAGAGAAGCAGAGTGTAGGGCAACCAACTGGACAGGGATGGGAAGGAAATAAATGGGTAGGAGAAGTTGATGCACAAGTTGTGAATGTAAATGCAGATGGGCTGCCAAGCACCTGAATTCTAATCAACTGACCATGAGAGCACTGCAATCACCATAATTCTGAAGATAAGTCATAAATATCATTTGTTCAGCAGTATCATAAGTTTGAATAGTCACTGAATGAATGGTCATAAAGCAAGGACTACAGTAAATTCGTAAGCTGTTTCTGTGCAACTGTTTAATTTTGAATTAACTGACTGATAAGTCTTCATTGAATATGTTTAACATGCACTTTTTCACTATAGCCTGACATTTCTTATAACTGCACACATAAATATATGCAGATTAATAATTTGTGGTCAGGGCAGTGATTCTGATCAATGCATGAGATGATGAATGACATACAGTAAACGCAAATCTGTAATGTTACTGTTGTTGCTACCGGTACATTGTACTGCTTTACAGAATTTCATCCTGAACTACAGAATATGACAGCTTCATTATAAAAAGAAAGGTTACCTGGAACATATAAAATGCCAACTTTTCATTATATTCCCACTGCTTTAGAGCATGTTCCACTTCACGAGGCACAACTACAGAGTTTTTGCCTTGGCTTGTAGTCATGTGATAAAATTCTGCAATTTTTACCAATTGTTCTCTTAGGTACCTGGTAGAGATTTGAGTCCATTCTATAGAGACACAAATTAAGTAATTGTTAACATTTGTTTTTCTTCAATGACAAAACTGGGCCAAAAAAACTCAACACAATTTGATTTATACTCAGCTGAGCTGTTACACACCCATAATCTCAAAATAGTGATCAGTGGGAGATCCAGTTTGAACGGCTTTTAGCATGACAGTCTTTACCACAATGCTTTCAAAGAATGCAAGTTAATACCTGTAGTTTGCTAAAGGAAGTTTGTTATGCAAATGTCTTGGATGGATTTCATGGATCACGTTTATGTATTTTGAGCAAGTAGAAATAAATTGTTGTTTGATATGAATCAGGTTTGAGAATTCATTTGAGAATAAAAATTATTCAAGCATTTCCATGTGGTATCCAATCATCAACTGAAAATATTTTGTATCACTTTATGAAATTAAATTCAGAATTGACTATAGGCTTTACATAAAGAGACTCTTAATGTAAAATAAGTAACTACCTTTGAAATTAATATTAATTCTTCTCTTACTCTGGGGGAGTCCTTATCTGATTCTGACACGAACTAGAGACTTCAGAGCAGGATTATCTTTTGCAACATTTCAACAGTTGAATCCAAGGAGAGATTCTAAGCCCTAACAGGGACAGATACCTCAAAAACTATGACTAAGGGATCGAAAAGTGAGAAATTGTTCAATTACAAGGAACATATATCTGTCTCCTTCACACAGGTCTGCTTAGGAAACAATCTTTTCTCCTAAACACAGAGTAGACCTGAAGGATGGAGCTTTAAGGCAGAGGCATACAAAACTGAAACAAATGTCATTTTGCCTTTAGAAACATTCAGCAAACTAGAAGTTTCATTTAAGATCCATTAGGCTGTAGAACTATAATACCTGACTGCCCGTTGCTTAGAAGTTGACCTCTGAATTTTCTTAGGTTTCTGTAGCTATTCACTTTCCACCATCTTATGGCTATTATGTGAGCTACAAAACTGGATGGCAGCAGAAAGACCCAGATTATCTTGTCACAATCTTTCCTGAAATTTGTAATTCAGATCTGTTAACCCTTACCATGATGTGAGTGGATTTATTGTTGCTGGATTCTAATTATGCATTTGAGAGCAACTCAGTTTACCATTTCCAGAAAAGGACAGCAACACTAGTGTTCTGACCTAGGCTTCCCAAGATCATGAAGTAGACTCCTCATCCCAATAATTCACTTTATTTAGGTTAAAGTGAGTTCCTCTCCAGCAAAGTCCCAACAGTCTTTCATGAGATTTCACAACTACAGACCTTTATCAGGCTTGGAAAGTTGCTGGGCTGATATCTTCCAAATGCCACGCTGTAGCAGAAATTACTTGGCAAGAAGTCAGGAACAGATATTCACCCTAATGAACTAAACTAATTGTCTCCTGCAAACATCATTTCCCTTTCCCTCCTCTTTATTCCCTATGGGAGGGACCGTTCACCGTCCACATGTGCTCTTACTCCTGAGTCGACCCTTGTTCCTTAACTGTTCCCTTCTCCTGGCAGGTCTGTGCATGCGCACACTAGGAAAAGGCTCCAGCTGTTCTTCAGCCCCACTGATCTCTGACTCAGAACTCAGCTGATAACTATCACACGGCCCTGGCCATATCTCTGCCTCTGACGCAGACACTCGTCAGAGCCTTCCCCAGACTCCAGGACTGGTCCATGTTCCTCCCCAACAAGAAATGTGGAACAATCCATTTTGCTATTCAAGACAACAGTATGCACTTCCAATAATAGCTACCATCCAATAAAAGAATTAATTCTCCTGATCTCCCTTATTTGCATGTCTGTCTTATTATATTCTGAAATCAACTTCCACCTACATATCATGCACTATAAAAGGAGAATGCAGCTTAGGAATGTTGAATCTTTTCCAAAATGCAGTTTTAATCCCCAAACATACTTTAAACCAGAGGTATTCTTTTTATCTAATACATAACATGGAGTTACATTTAAATACATAGTATTGATTTTGTTTCATAGAGTTCAAAGGCAGATGTTATTCATTAAAATACATGGAAACTGAGCTGAAAATTTCTAGTGTCAAATGCTTCATAAATGATCTTTACAATGTTCATTTTTGAACTATTTTGGCACAGCTTTTATTAGCTGAGGATCACACATCTGAGTGAGGGGGATATACTCCTCAAACTAATGGGTAGTCAAAACAAAATTCAAATTTTGTTTTATTTGCATAATTTAAATGAAATTAAATATGCTTAAAATATTTGTCTCTGGATATATAGTTATTGATTTTCCCCTTCTATAACATGAAAAGTAGCATTTTGGAATAATCCTTTAGAGTTTCTTGACTACCTGCATCACTTTGGGAGTTATTGTTGGTTATGTCTTAGTGACTAAATTACTTCCAATTTCTACAAGCCAAAAGTTTGTTTTCCATCTTCCAATTTACATATCATTTTTATTTTCCATAAAAATGATATGTAAAAATGATAAGTTTTACATTTCCATTTCTTTAGAGATGCAATAATACATAGTTTCTTTATTCTTTCAAGAGATATTATAGAAATAAAGTAAGAAAATCATTTCAATCTTATGCCAGTAGATATTTCAGAATGGAATCCTCCATCACTATCAAAGATTTGTGAAGTACTGTATTAATGTTACAGACAGAACATGCCAAAGGGAAAAATATTCAAATCAAACTGCCAACATATCACCTTTATAGCAAAATTCTACTTCCAGCTGACCACTGAGTGAGCCTTTCTATTATCATAATCCATGCCTTGAGATGCTCACTGAGATCAACATATTACAGAGTAGATATGAAACAATCCTAGATATAAAATGATGCCTCTGGGCACTCAATAAAATAAATTAGTCTTATTACTTCTACAGATCAGTCAATAAAAGATCTCTGAAATGTAGTGTTACAGCTATTAAAAAACTATAATTCATTTTATTTGCTATATCAATAAACATGCCACAGTACATTGTATGCTGACATTTTAGTTAGTGCTGTATTTGATTTATTTACCTCATCAAAAATATCACTTGAAGCCAAGATTGCCAAACATACTTTGGCCATGTCATGAGAGCTGAGTCACTCAAAAAGTCAACCATGAAGGGAATGATCAGTAGAAATAGGAGTTACAGGGCTGCCCTAGTACCTGCTGGTGTGGACACTATAAAAGATGACACTGGGATAACAATGGTGGATCTGAAGGAGGCGGTATGAGACAAAGGGGCCTGGAGAGAGCTTATCCGTAGAGTGGCCAAGGGTCAGATACAGCTGATTGACTGATAACAATGATGTAAGTAGTCGAAGATTTTCAGCTTTAGTTAATAAAACCTAAGGCACAATTTGACTTCTTTTCAGTTTAGTATGACAGATGTCATAATATTACAGGTAAAAGGAACAACAACCCATGTTTTAAACAACTTGATGTAGTGTAAAGACAGTTTTCTTATTGCATTACACAGCAGCAATGCTATCCATTTCACCAGTTTCACCAGTTCACCAGAAACAGCCCAATTTGAAAGAAAGAAATTACATTACATTACTCTTCTCCAGTTGTTTTAGGAGCTATAGTTCAATACATCTGGAAAGCATGAGGTTGAAAAACTATTTTACATATAACAAGTCATATGTTGCAAAGCAATTAAATTTGCTTAGAGGCATCAATAGATAACTATGAAGACAAAAATCTATAACATAAAAGCAATTGAATAGAATTATTGTGTGAGGCAGGTTTAATTAGGCATCCTGAACTTGTCACATCAGCACTAAAGTAAGGAAAGCTCTAGCCATATGCATGTTTGTTATGAAACTCAACTAAGCATATCTTATTGAGTAAATGCACAAATAATACAGAACAGCTTAATATGCAAGAGTGAATCTACTTTGTGAAAAAAATGAAGGTATAAACATTTTAAACTAACAGCAGCAACCAGAATATTTATTTAAAAGCAACACCAGTGTAATTTTTTAAATATACATCTTTTATTTTAAACTCTGTAAATTACCCTTAAAAAGGAAAATGCTTTGCATAAGAAGTGAAAGATACCATATTTTTCAGAGTATAAGACGTACTTTTTCCCCTAAAAATGTGGGTGGAAATGTCTGTGCCTCTTATACAGTGAATACAGGCCTATTTTTGGCTTCCAGAGGCCTCCATGGGTCCCACTTTTGTCCTCCCTGGCATCAAGGCCAAAAATGGGTGTGTTTTTTGGCTGCAGTACGCTTATGGATGCAGGGGAGGCTGAAAACAGGACATGCAGAGGCTTTGGGATGCCAAAAACAGGCCCATTTTTTGGCCTACAGAATGCTTCTGGACACCAGAGGGCAAAAACAGGACACACAGAGGCAAAAAACTAATGTTTTCTTGTTAATAAATTGTTTCTAAGTGCATCTTATAGACCGATGCATCTTATAGTCTGAAAAATATGGTAATCTGGAATCCACTTTTATTGTGAGGTAAGCTTTCAAGATTAGAAGGGGAAAAGCTAGTGAAAACAAGTCCCCTTAAATGAATCATGATGGCATTTAAACAAATGTGGAAAATCTGAAAATATCTGGATGCAAATTGACTGCAAATACAGGCAAAAAGGCATAGAAAATTCTATTATCTTTATAAACTTTGCTAGAAAGATATGAGAGATATAATGTAAATTAGCTTTATTTCCTTCCATTTTTACCCTATTTTCTTAATTTATTTGACTTGTTTTTTACTACTTTCCTCCACACCAAATCATGTTTATCCCAAAGGAAATAGCATGATGGGTATGTATTATCTACCAATATCAATAATTTAAATAAAAGGAGTGATCCATTTGGGAAATTGAATATAGAGTGACTAAATTTCTAGTTAGGTGATGGAACTACCATTTTTGAAAACATGGTGTTAATAATGTACATGCTGTAAAAACTGAATATCATTAATAGATACAGCCTATTTGTCTAGAATCTGCTCAATTTTTTTCACTGAGGATAGGAAGAGAACAAATTAATACATTTTCTCTGTAGGTCATTAATTATGCTTCAGCTTTCATTCTGCTCTTTTGCTGTACTAAAAATTTAAATATATTTTCATTGATCAATAATGAGAACCTAAAGAAATGGAGGCTTGATTTTGTCATTTCCTGATACAACAAGCTTGTGGTTCTTGGTTTTTTGAACTGCACTGACACCTACTGTAGTTTATAAAGCATACAGGAAAAAGTGAAGCTTATCAACTTATATCCTCCATACAATAATGCAATTCCACAACAGTGCAAAAATGTGCATTAATAAGATGTTACATTCAGTATTTATTACCAAGATTTGGATCAGCTGCCTGGCGTTTCTTGATTTTAGCTTCAGAGATGGCTGAGTAGTAGGCACAAGTCATTTTTATCAACCATGCTGCTCGCAAGAGTGGCACAGAGTATCTTGCTAAATAAGCAAAAACATCTTCCTTTTTGCTGAGAATTGGGACCTATATTTGAAGACAAAGAAAGAATTTTAAAAGGTGGCTACAGAACTCTAAACCTGTTAGATGACCAACTGTAAAATTTAATTCAACTACGTAGATGTAGTAATAACTGAATGACATGTATAAAAAAAATAGCATCAGGAGTAATTAGAGAAAGCAAAAGTTAGTGTCAAATTAGTCAAACTGTTGCTTTTTGGTATGTCAAAAATAATGTATAGGTTCAAATAATATTGAATTAATCTGGATCAAATGAAATTATGTATTATTCCCATTAAAAGCTGTTTGGTTTTAAATAGCGAGTTAAAATACACTTGCTGGCAAAATCAATATTTTATTTGTTGATCAAAGTATTTCCCCATTTTTTTCAAAGGATATTGAATAGCCATAATAGCTATAATACGCTGCTTTGGAAAAATGTTTGAGGCAAAATATGGTAAACATATATATTCTGTCACATTGGCAGCTCTTACATCTAAATGTAATTAACAGCTCCCATAAATGCCAATCCTTAAAATGTCATGTATCTTAAAAGTGCAAGCCCAAAAACGTTACATCTAAGTCCTGTGAAAAAGAGATGTTCCGCTAGTGCACTTAGTGAACACACTTAGGTGAAATTTAGGCTTGATCTTAACAATATCTAAAATTGGCCAACATTTCTATCCCTCAAGAAATAGATTTTATCAGGTTTCCTGAAATATTGAAAAGTGGCTTCCTTCATTTGTCGTTAGGTCTCCTATTATTTTCAAAATACTGAAAATAATAGGAGTCTAGAAGTTTACACACAATATGGTCACAACTTTAAGGGCTAACTTGCTTATATTGTTTCATACTAAAGTCAGCACTTAAAGTTTAGTGAAAGACAAGATTCTAACATAACTTTTTCACAGGTCGCAACCAGGAGTTTCACGCAGATATAAATTTTTAGCAGTTTTTACTCTTTTTATTGTTTCTGACGACTTGTAGAAGTTTCAATATCTATTTGTGCAATATATCATCATTACTTACAACTCACTGGAAAACAAGGTGTCATTTTGTCCACTGCATTCCAACATAGACAATAAGAGGGCCATAGCAGTTATTGTTGCTATTATGTACAAGCCAATCATAACTCTGAAAATCCAGAAGTCTGCTCTAATACACATATTCTCCATGGCCATTGATTAGCTACCTCTATCTGCTGCTAAAGGTCACTTCTTGCCAGCATTTTTAGCATTAGCTAGAGATAGTATTCATTTGTTATGAGTCATTCTCTCCTGATCCACCTCATAACTCCCTTACTCAGCTTGACCAGTAACTAAACTTAACATTTTAAGCATCTACCCAAACTGACAATACTCAGCACTATCTCAGATGACCAAAAATGATTGGTGGTTGTTTTTCCACTGACAAGGGAAATGGGGGAGAAAAATCCACCAATCCCTTTTCTTAAATCACTTGCAAGGAGTTATTAAGGTATCATTCACTGGCCTCATTACTGCTGCACAATAGCAATAGGAACAAAATTGTTTCATCCACCAAGAAGATCATAAGTAATACATTGCACAAACAGCTGTAGAAACTTGCATGAATCCTCAGAGATCATTTAGGTTGGCATGCTTTTCAGTAGGCTCAGCATCAGGTCAGTCATAAGAAAGAACAGGGGTCTCCAACCTTGGCAACTTTTAAGACCTGTGGACTTCAACTCCTAGAATTCTGAGAGTTGAAGTCCACAAGTCTTAAAGTTGCCAAGGTAGGAGACCCCTGCAATAGAAAATTTAAGAAAGGGAGATGAAAAAAAAGCAATACAGATCATTAGCGGTAAAAACGGAACAGGAACTCTCATAATTTCTTTTGCAGGAAGCTGCCTTCATCTTGTTTATTTTGTTAATATTGCACTTTAGATTCAGATCAGAATCACGTGAAATCCTCCCTCTCTCCCAAATAGCGAAGAAGTCATCCAAGTACCTTTTTTGCTAGGAAAGTCAGAGGTTTATTTCCTGCCAAATCCGCAAACCACGTATGAATTGCACTCTGGGACCGAGCAGTAACTAGCCAGTAATTGTCTTTAGCATTTATTTGCAATTTCTTCTTTCCTATATCTTGGAATGTATTAAGTTTTAATTTCTCTGCTAATATGCTGCTAAAATAAGCACCAATCTGATAAAAGAAGAAAACGAAAACAGAATAAGCATTTTCTAAAACTTAAATATATACAATGCCTTGGATTAAAGAGATCAAGTGTCCTTTAACTAGTACCTTGATAAGATTAGCTTCTAAATTCTTTATTGTAGTAGTCAAAAACTTGATAAGCTAAAATGATCTCCCATTATCATTCAAGTATAGATATTATGGATATAAAAGTTATTGATACTCAACATTAAAATACCCCTTAGGCTATAATAAAAATAAACTTATTATTAAAGCATATTTGCAGTTAAAAAACCTGTCCAGAAAAGGCAAATGTTAAATTTGAAATTTGTGACATTTTCCTTCTTTCAAATATCAATTAAAATCATTTGTAACAGTAGATTCTTGATTGGCATATTGAGAATTTCAGCATTAGGAAATCCACATCTTTGACCCTGCATGCATTCACCTATGTATTCATAATTTTCAAGTTACACAGATTAAAAAGTTTTTAAAAAATGAAGACACACATTACCAAATCAATAAAGAAGGTATTGTAAAACAGCATACAAAAAAACACATACCTTTGATGGGTTAATAACAATATTTCTAGCAGACCCGTGTTCATCTCCTGAGAAAGGTGGCTGATTACTGAAACCTTGTTTTACATTTACAGCAGTTAGCTCATCCTACAAATAAAGTATAATGTTAACGTAGTTTTGCAGCAAGTTCCAAATTTACGTGAGATCAGATTCTCATTAAGGAATTAAAATTTCTATTGTGCTATGAATAAGATATACATTTTATGCATTCTTTGCAAATGCAAATCTGTTTATGGTTTTTTGTTATAAACATTTTTATACAATTCTCTTATATTATCTAAAAGTAATTAAAATTTGGCACTTATCAAATTGACCTAAATACTTTAAAAGAAACATGTCTAGACAATCTTACACATTAATGATACAAACACTGGGTTCTTAAACATATAGGTAATTATTTTTTCTATTTCTACTACTTGTTTTATCCTAAAACAATATCCCGGGAAAGCCAGTCTGATGTAGCAGTTAAGGCAACAAGCTAGAAACTTAGTGAACCATGAGATCTTAGTCACACTTTAGACATGAAGCTAGCTGGGTGAACCTGAACCAATGTTTTTGTCTCAGTCCTAGGAAAGAAGCAGTGGCAAACCACTTCCGAAAAAAATCTCGCAAAGAAAAATGCAGGAACTTGTCCAGGCAGTCTTCAAGAATTGAATCTGATTGAATGAATGAGAAAAAAAATAATCAAAGATCTTATCCAGATTGGCCTTTAGGAATGAGACGATTTATGAATAATACAAAAAAACCATGCTGTTATGTTTGAATATTTTGGTTTACTCTGTTACTTGTTTCAGTTAGCATTTTACATTACAGAAAAAAATCATTAGACCTCCTAGGGTGTAATTGGTTGCGGTTGTGATTCAGGTGACCCTGAAAACACAGCTAAACCTCCAAGTGACCTCAATAGCTCTTAGAGAGAGTGCTAACGACCAGATGGCTGCAAAGTAATACGATCTTTCAATTCCCCACCCCACCCCACTTCCATTCTATCAGAACCTATCCTTCCATCCCACCACCATCTGAACTGATGAAACTTCTGGGATGAGAAGTGAAACATTTTCTTCTTCCTCAAGGAAAAAACAGTGCAGTTACCTTTTGAAAAAGAAAAAAAGTACCTTGGAGACAACTATAACCTGTATGACTGAGAATTTTCCACAGAGATTTAGATTTCTAGTTTGAGTTAATCTAGTTAATTTAGTTAAGACTCATGCCAGCCTTAACACAATGCACTATTTTGTTTCATTCTCATAAAATTTAGCAACAAAAACGCTCTGGATTTCAAAAGAGATCAAAATCTTTGCCATTAGTTTTGAAGCTAATTCATTTCAACAGTGAAGATGAACCAGCCTTCTGTTTAAACAATAGCACAGCTGTACGGATGAAACTGTGATCATTGTAACCCAACCGAACTTCTATTTAAAAGATTCAGATGTAATTTTGAAGATTTCCTTAGTAACTATATCTTTCAGTGATAAAAGACCTCTTCCTTGCTTCTACAAATGCTTGTGAAACTTCTAACAGCAATCATGTGCAAATTAATTATAAAGTGAAAACTACATACAATGTTACAGCTTAGCATTTAAAATATTTCTGCCTCTAGCATATCATCTTTCCATTGGAAATTAACTCCTATTTACAAATCAATAAATCACCATCGTATATGTTGCCTAAGTTTCTATCTTGCATATCCTAGCTACTAGGTGGAGAAGTAATGAATCAAACAGCCCATATCAGAAAGTATAATGTTTTTCCCAGTCCAATATATCAGGCCCATTTAAGGGAGAAAAGATAGAGATTAATGCTACATTTCAATGTATTCTCTAAGCTATAAAATATGTATGTTATATAAACAAATGTCATAGTTTTATTGAAAAATAAAAATGAAGTTCAACTATGTACAACACGGGTATCAAACTCACCATGTCACATTGCTGTCATGCAACATATTGTGGTGTTTTTTCCCTTCACGGACCTGGGGTGGGCACCTATACATGATGCATCTGGCCTGCGGGCTGTCAGTTTGACATCCCTGTGTCAAATTTCAAAATGCATATAAGGATTTATTTATTTTTTTGAGCCAGCTGAGGTACTTTTGAACAAAAAGTCTTCAGGCTTGTAATCCCAGCACTTCCCAGAAAAATGGACATCCAGTCTTATTGTTTGCAGCAAAAAAGCCCACACTGTTTGCCTATCAAACAGTATCAAACAAACACAGTCCCTGATTCAGAACAATATGAACCTGATGAACAGCTTCAAAGAACGGCAACCACAAAGCATTCAATTGATTTTCACCGTAGATCTTATTTTTATCCAAGAACTGGATGTTGTCTGTTGGGAATAGTAATTTTTACTATCCATAGACACACAGATAAATTTTAGATATCAATCAGGATCAGCAGACAAAAGATGTGGTAACAAAAATGTTCTATCAGAATAGGCATCTCTAACAAAAGTTCTGTCAACTATTTATCATCTACAGGTAGACCTTGACTTATAACTACTCATTTAGTGACCATTTGAAATTTTCATTTAATGACCACCCAAAGTTACAACAGCACTGGAAAATGTGATTTATGACAGTTTTTCACACTGATAATTGCATTATCCCCATAGTTACATGATAAAAATTCAGACAATTGGCAATTGGCATTTATTTATAATGGTTCCAGAATCTCAGGGTCAGACAATCATCTTTTGTGACCTTCTGATAAGCAAAGTCAATGGAGAAGCCAGATGCACTAAACAACTGTATTACTAACTTAACAACTGCAATGATTTACTTAACAACTGGGGCAAAAAGTCTGATAAAATGGCACAAAATTCACTTAACAACTATCTAGCTTAGTGAAAGAAAAGTTGGGTTCATTTGTGTTTGTAAACCCAGGACTACTTGTAATTCCTGCATCCTTGGGCTTGCTTAATGGAACATGATACTCACCGATTTCTATTCTCATCACTTCTTTGATATTTCATGAGAGCCCAGCTTCATTATCCAGAAGTATTGGGATTATAACTCCCAATATTTCCACTCTATATGCCTAAAGGTTTAACAGCAATCTATCTTGTTGATCTTGTTGGATGCTTTAGGGGTTATTAGAATTATTCAGCAATTAAAACCAGCTGTAAAACAGCAGTGATTCAGACATGACATACTGACCTAGTTTATTCCTCACATTAAATCACAATTGGCTGCCCTAAGCTATAAACAAAAATCTACAAATGATAGTAGTTGGACTCAGAGAAGACAACATGACAAAATGAAGCAAAATTTATTTTACCATGATATAGGAACCCATACTTTCCAAGTAGAGAACAATCTCCTCTTTTATACCTCAGTTGCTTTCTTCTGCTTCTTCACTAGAGCTACAAACTAAGATTCATTCACAAGGAAATTATGGTTAAAAAGGACCAAGGTTGAACAAAATGAGTTAACATCCGCTAAGGAAAAAATGTTTCAAAGGTGGTTCCATGTGTTAGGGTAATAAAATCCCTGATTCATTTTCGCTTTTATAAATCTATGTGATTGCTAAAAGTCAACACCACTAATTTTACATAATCAATCAAATCCTCACTCAAATCTGGAGAAATTCATAATCTGCATTTAAACTACGTGTGCAAGACAGCACAATCACATATTCTAATAAATTGTTTCTAGTTTAGGATGCAATCTGTAGGGTTACAATGGTATACAACAATATACAGAATCCGCAAAGCATTTAAGACCATTGTTGCTTGAGATTCCATTAGTAATTTTCAATTGTTGCTTTTTATATTTTTTTAAAAAATCAGCCTTGTAAAAAACGTACAGTGTTTTATCCCAAAATTTACTTTTTCTGAATTGTCTTTATTCCATTCAATTTATGTCATTTCGGTACAGTCTTGAGAGACAGAATTACACAACAATTTCAGAGAGTAATCACTGTTCAGTGCACAACTGCACAAATGGCCTGAATAGCCTAATCACAACATGTTTTTATACAAAAGAAGAATTTTTTTTCTCTTTCAAGTTTTTACTTGGAAATTATTGGCAGATAATTAAAGCAAACCTGAATTGTAATTCCCTGACATTCTACATATGCCAAACAACAAATGCATGTTTATTTTGAAAAAGCCTTGAGAAAATCTATTGGATTTATTCACTACAAACACTGCTTAGCCTCACATCCAATTCTTTCAAAGAAAAAAAGTTATTTTTTTATAGTTTTGCACATACTCATTTAGTGTACCACATTGTTTGGAGGGGGGGAGCAGAAAAATTAGAATTACTCAAAGGAGACAATGAGTTCCACACATAATTTTGCAACAGCAACCTTTCCACACTTCTTGAATTTTGTATTATCTAAATTATCTTTTCTATTTCAAATAGAAATAGAAATTTCAAATCTCCAAGGGGTTCTTTCAAATCAATGTTCACAAACTAATATTTTCAGGAGATGCTTTGATTGTCAGAAAGATTCCCATATATTACAATATCATTGCTCTGTGAGGAATCCTGAGCATCACATTATTAAGATTTCTTGGTTTGAATCCCGATGTGGATATCAACAAGTTCAGTAAATTCAATTTATTTTGTTTTGATCAGTAATCAGTAATTATATCAAATCCAAACTCATTCAGTTCTAATAATACCAGAAAATTAAGTATTACATTCAAGAAAGAAAGAGCACGGGACCAGTTATATTGTTTCTAAATGTTTATATAATATTGAAAAATAGAATACTCTAAACCTATGAATTCTAAATTAAAGAACCAATTGCTCATAATGTTAATTTTAAAAACCACAAAGGTGAACCCAAGAATTCTATAGTAGAGGGGAGGGGGGACATATTCTCCCAGCATTAAGCTAGCGGGATAAAGAGATTCTGAAATATACACAAATTTTGCCAGTCTTCTCACAAAATCACAAACTGGAAAAAAGCTATTCTATTGAACTTCTGCTTGATGATATATTCTATATGGACTAGACAGGACTGAGATAAGAGAAATAGTATAGCCCATAATATTTATGCTTTATATTATGACTATTTTACCTGATGATTGTATGGAGCTACATAAAGCCATTTTGTCTAACTAAAACTTGGGATACT